TGACCAACTCCAAATATTTTTTAAACATTGAAAGAATTTAATAAACAAAAACTAAATTTCAAAAATAGTGCATGCAGAAAAACTAGATCTGCACTTACTGCTTGCTCTTTTTTTTTTTTTCCTTTAAGGTGCGTATGGAGTGGTTTTATGAATCTACACTCTTGATTAACTGATCATCAGCTGGTGGGAGCAGCTCAATGATAGGGTCATAGACTCTTTGGCGTTTTACTATTCTGGAGCATTTAACTTTTAATGCCAAGGAGAACAAATTATAAGTGGGTAATGATCTTAGATTACATGTTAAAAGAATTCAAGGGAGTCGTTGATCTTTCCAGGGGTGGACATCCCAGCAAGTTTTTCCAGAGTTCAAACTGTGCAGAGCTCAGAAAAGAAAAAAATCCCTAGAGCTTCATTTCAGACTCTGCAGGCCTGAAGCGGGAGGTTAAATTTTAAAGCTTATGACGGTTTAGTTAGAAGAGAAAGACTCAACAAGTATGGCTTGCTAGAAAGAGTTGCCAGGAAAAAATGTCCTGATGCATCTCAGTAATCCAGGTAGAAAAAATAAGTAGGTCCTCTGGATGGATTATTCTTTAATGAAACATTTTGTCTCTTCTCCAAGAGACTTCTTCAGTCTGAGGAGTTTCAGGTGAACTCAGCCTTATAAGCACTGCCTCCACATGGTGGACAAACAGGTTAGTCACATGCAAAAGAGGGCCATCAGCCAAACAATAGATCATTAGTGCCTTGATTATCTATTGTTCATCGAGGGTCGTGTGCACAGTCACCTGACTATTGTTGGGGCACTGATTCACACCTATTGATCACAGGGGGCGGAGTCATACTTGCAACAACAGCATTGTAGGAAGGGGACAACTGGAAATGAAGTGCCCCCCGGCACAAACAAAGTAATATAGTATATGCTGTTAAGTGTTAGGAGGACTGTGATCAGTCATATATTGGGGAAACAAAACAGCCACTGTTCAAAAGAATGAGCCAGCACAGACGAGCTACTTCGTCGGGTCAGGACTCTGCAGTTTACACTCATCTACAGGCCAGCGGTCACTCTTCCAGGATTGACGTTGTTCTCATCCTTGATAGAGAGGATTGTTGGTTTGAGATAGGAGTAAAGGAAACTGTTTTTGTGGGGGAAAAAAACTGTCCATCATTAAACAGAAGTGGAGCCCTTCGTGTCCAGTTGTCCTCCTCTGAACCCATCCAGAGGACTTAATTTTTTATTTTTTATTTTTTATTTTTTTTGCCAGGAGAAAACCTTTAAACATGGCAGTATGAATATTTTTTAAATATAAGACTTCATGATTGTTAGACTTTTAAAACCAAAGTAGAGATTTGGAAATATTATTAGTGTCAAATTTGTTTTTGTTGAAAATAAACAGCACGGAAATGAAAGCCTGATGATTTGGACTTGTTAAGGCTGATTGATACATTTTGCAGCCAGAAACTTGACTGTGAACCTTTCTGAGTATCACAGCATTTTCAAGACAAATATGAAGCAATATTTTTTTTTATTTATTTAACACTAAAGTGATATTAAGCGCAGCTGCAATGTTACAAGTAAGGGGAGAAAAAAGAGAATAACAAAAAGGTTACAGCTCATAACGTTTGTCTGTATCCTGATAGAAAAGCTGTGGTGGTAAAATGTTCTTTAAAAACTATTGAGTTGAAAGTGTATTGTAAAGAGCCAAAAACAAAAGTAAAAACCAGTGGTTATTCCGTATGTTGCGGGTGTTTTGGAGAAACTGAGACGTTTATTTTCTAAACATGATGTCCCAGTAGCTTTCAAACCCCAAAACACATTACGGCAAAGGCTGGTTCACCCCAAAGATCCGGTGCCCCGGCACAAACAGAGCAATATTGTATATGCTGTTAAGTGCCAGGAGGACTGTGACCAGTTATACATCGGGGAAACAAAGCAACCACTGTTCAAAAGAATGTCCCAACACAGACGAGCTACATCTAATGGCCAGAACTCTGCAGTTTTCACTCATTTACAGGCCAGCGGTCACTCTTTCAGAGATGAGGATGTTCTCATTCTTGATAGAGAGGAACGTTGGTTTGAGAGAGGAGTAAAAGAAGCCATTTTTGTGAAGAAAGACTGTCCATCATTAAACAGAGGTGGAGGCCTCCGTTTTCAGTTGTCCCCCTCCTACAGCGCTGCCATTGGCAGTATCACTCCACCCCCTGTTAACAGTAGGTATTAATTAGGTGTCAACGATAGCCATGTGATGTATCAGTCACATGGAGGCAGGACTCAAAAGCCTGAATTTTGCCTGAAACTCTSAGACTGAAGAAGTCTCTTGGAAGAGAGACGAAACGTTTCATTAAAGAAGAACCCGTCCAGAAGACCTATACAATTTTTTTCCTTTTGATTTTTTTACCTGGATTACTGAGATGCATCAGGACGAAAAACAAAAGTACGTCTGCGCACTGACTACATTTTTTTAAATGAAATGTATATTTTTACCTGCACATTTAGTAAAAACATCATGTGAACAAATTTTCTGAAGATACACTGTTCATGTCCTGTTGCATCCCTGTCTTAAAATAGATGTTTATTTGACAGGTGTTAAATCCCACCACCACCCACAGTTTACTGGGCCTGAACGAACGTATTTAAAATCAGATATTTACAAAAGGCACCAAATAAAGTTCTTTGTCCATGCTCTGTTTTAGAGCAAAAAGAGCTACCTGCTCATCATTTTACAGCTGCTCGTGATGTTATGGCTGGTCAATGCATATACAGTTAGTGTAATATTATTAATAAGAGTATCTATCTTCAATAAAAGCCCTTTGTCATGTCTTTTGTTTCCTTTGTTTGTTGAGTGTGTGCGCGTGTGTGATGGATGAAAGTGGAGTTGAGGTTATCTCTACTTTTAGACGCTTCTGGGCTGTACAAAATACATGACAGTTGTGATGAATGAACTACATTTCACAGTATTAAACTGTGTCTGATATCACACACACGCACATACACACATGTGCTACACGGACAGAACGGCATGCACTACAAACACACAATACTGTCTCTTCACACGAATTCACATCCACAAAATTCCTGGCAAACGCAAAATGTGGCTAGTACTTTTTTTATTTTCTTGCAGTTTTAAGTGAGGGCTTTTATTTAAAATAAAAAGTTGAGTAAATAAAGTTATTGTTTTAAAACTTTTTTTTTCCTCACAAAAAGTGAGCTGTTTTTATTTGTTTACCTTTGTGTTGTTTTTTCTTTTTCTTTTTGTTAGTTTTGCACTGAAACACTATCTGTTTAATTGTACTTCTGATGTTGGAGAAAGTGTAGTTTCATAAGCACATTTTTAGAGCATGAAGGAAGGTTAGCGAAGCCTGTCTGGCTGAAAACAAGGGACAGGTACGGGTAACCAGGAGTATGATGGGGGAACGGATGAAGAAAATGAGAAGCCGTGAAAAAAATCAGCAACATAACTTTTATAGGCTAAAATTTTGCATTTGTCCTACTATGTCGTGTAAATTGTTGCATGTATTAAACTTTAAGTTGTTTCCTACCAACCTTTTGTCACCTAAACAATCACGTCTGTTTACTTGAATATTCTTCTTCTTTTAGCTTCATACATGGATGTAACTTTTTTGGGGGGGCTACTCCATCATCAGTTCTCATTCTTTTTTGAAGAGAAGAGTTAAATTTATGTAAACCTGTTTTACTCATTATAAGTCTTTTTCATTGTTTAAATTTTGTTAATGAGCTTTTATTTTACTAAGTCTAAAACAGCGTTAAACTTCATAAACCTGAGCTTTTACCTGATGAAAAGTTTAGTTTTCATTGCCGTTTTGCCATCTGAATTTTCAAGCTTAAAATGTTTTGAACTATTTTCTAAGTTTTATAAAAGGTGCAGATGACACAGACCACACCACATTTATTAGCTTTTCTGTTCATGAGCTTTGCGTTACAGCAGGAGTAAAAACAAGTGACAACTGTCGGTTTGTCTTTTTAACTCTATCAAGTTATTAGATCAGACCATTCATATGGATTAAATTTTAATTATCGCACTTATCGTGAAAATTATTGCAGCATACTGTGACTTTCACACCACCACCCTGATGCTCCCACTCTCAAAGCCTCACCTAATTAGGAGTTTCAGCGTGAACTCCGAGGGTTGTGGTGTTTAGTCAGCAGTTTGCCGCTCAGAGGAGATGCAGTGTGTATTATTAGGACGGGGAGAGGGCATCGATCTCTATCAGCATGCACGTAGGATAAATCCACAAACTGACTGGAACCACACACACACACACACACACACACACACACACACACGCTGCGTCCAAACACATACTGTACAGTTTAACCACATTTCAGTTTGAATACTATTATTCAATACTATAGTTCATTAGAACATATTTGGTAAAAAGTGCAATCACTTCACAGTGTTGAAAGCAAATAAATGCACTAGAACAATTATGTTTTGTTAGGTTAGATAACTGAAGAATGCTAATGATAATTGCTTCTCTGTGGTAGCTTAATTCTTCCCTCTGCTCACTGAATTTAATTATTTCTAACATTTTTTTTAATTACATGCTAAAAACTAGGGCAGACAAGAACTTGACATTTTGGAAATTTGTGATTTTATGTAATCATTATGATCATAAATGATTTCTTGCATATTTCTTGTTATAAATGCTGAAGTATAAAACACATTTAAATTAATATTTGGCTCTTAAGACCTGATCCTCGGTACAAGATCAGTCTAATAATCTATTAACTGTTGTGTGAATAGGAAATCTTATAGTCTATAAATCTAATTTATATATTTGTTATTCATCATCTTAATCTGAGCCTGGTGGTTAATATTTAAAATGATATTTAACAAGTTGATCTTTTAAGACTAAATGCTTATTTAAAGAAATGTTTATTGAAGATGTCAAGATCTTTATATGAACTAGCACTAAAATGAGGAACACTGCACTTTATAGCTTGTCTTACTAGTTTCAAAAGTATTTGATTTGTTTCACAGAGACTCGGGAGGACCGCAATAAGAGACTGTTCAGACACTACACTGTGGGATCTTATGACAACTTCACCTCATACAGGTACAGCTTCTGTTTCTGAGCTACAGCATGCTTAATTTATGTGCAGGGCAGAGCTATGTACAATGTGCAGCGCTGACTACAGAAACTTCTTTTGTTTTTTTTGTTATTTTTTTGCCCTGTCATGGTTAAAAATGTCCATTGGAAAAAGTGAAGTGCAGTGAAGCTGCTGCCATCTAAAGTAATGAAGCTGCCGGTGCACTCGAGGCAAACTCGTTGACCCGACTCAGCTTTTAGTCTTTATGCATGGGTGCAAAGTGTAGACAGATGCTTAAAGTGTTTCTGCATGCATGTGGAGAAAACAAACTCATGCTACCATTTTCTATGTTTTCATCTTTGTGTTTTCTCTATTGTTCTGTTATGATGAACTATTTTGTCTATAAAATAAGAATATTTATTTTCGTCTAAATCAGATGCTAGAGAAGAGTGTAGACGCAGTCTTGATGAGGTTATATATGAGAAAAAGTCCCACTTCTCTGCCACATTTAAGCCTTATTTCTGCTATTTCTATACCTTCCTTGAAATATCAGCCTTATGTGTTTTATTTTTCTCAAAATGTAATGGCAGTTTTGTTACCAGAGGTCCGGTCTTGATAAATTAGTCTCACTAAAAACTGGGATAGTCTGCCAGTGTGAGACGCTCTGCGAGGAACATAGTGTAATGTTTTGGTTTGTTTTTAAAGTGGCAGAAAAAAAAATAGCAATCTGATCTAGATCAGTGAAGAAATTGGCACTAAGGGTAGCTTTTTTGTTGCTTTGCACTGCTATTTGAAATCAAGTGAAATTATAAAAACGCTTAGGTATTATGTGAAAATCAGCGAGAAAAGCCGATTAAATTGTCACCTACTTGTCAGCAGGAAACTCTCGTTCCACAGAGGTTTGAATTGAGCTGTAGTGCAGATTTTCTCAAATCTAAACAATCAACTCAAAAAAAGTCATAGGGCAGGTTTGTTTTGGTAAAACATTTACCACTTTAAAATGTGAGCCTTACAATGAAGGGTTTTGTGAAGTCCTGTAGGCGGTTTCTGAACAAAGGAGATAAAGCGCGTCGCATTAATGCAGCATTTTGGATCATGGAGCTGAAGCGAAATAGGATGAAAAGCTTTAAAATGACCAAGCTACTTAGTGACGCTTCACCAACGCAATATTTTGTGCATAATAATTAGTGCAGAAGTGGATAGATAGCATTTTATGAAACCAAACTTTTAACCTCCCTCCTGCAGAAAGGTTGGTTACGGGTCCTCTGGCTCCAGCAGCAGGAGCTCTGTGTTTCCCAGGTAAGTTTAAGAGTCGAGTGTTTGCAACTGAGCTAATGACAGTACAGCGCCTGACCAAGCTGAACTCCAGCACTCTATACCTGCCTCGTTCAGGAGAAAAACTGTCTGATAATGTTGGAACTTTCCCAATAATAAACATATTTTTGTGGCTTTTATGAAGGCATTCACACGTAAATGTGCAATAGCCCACATTAGTTGAAAATAAGTTGCAATTTATGGTATGCACAAGATTTAATACAGCAAATGGCTCCTTTATACATTTCCAGGCATCAGAGAAAAGCGAATTTCACCGTTAAGCATTAGAAATGATCTAAAAATCATTTTCATTCACCCCCTTAATTTGTTTAACTGTTCCACTTTAGGTTGGTTTTGTGAGGAACTGGATGTGAAAATATAAATTTCACTCAGAGGAACTTAATTCTTTTATTGTCCGTGCTGCTCGGAGCTTTTGTACTAACTCTGCTTTTGGCTCAGAGGCTTTTAACAAGTGCATGCTGGAAAGACTCACTCGGAAAAGTGTGCAAAATCACCACAGGTTAACACCACCTACCAACCTCCTCCCCCTGAACACTCAGGGAAATCAGACTGCTTTGCTTACTTTTGCTTCCCAATTCTCCTGCTATTAACCAGGGAGAGAGATTGTATTGCAGTCATCTCTGTCAGGTTTTTTTTTTTGTTATCAAAATCTCTAAGCACACTACTCAGCTGAAGTCTGATCGACAGGATCAGCCAGAAGGTTGATTCAGTCTTAGGGTTTATCCCACGGATACTTCAGTCACACACTCGCACTTGTTCTTTGTCTCTTTGTCACCGGTGTGTGTGTCATCTGAAAATACTCACACATCTCCTGGAAATCCCTTGCTGTTATCTTGGCTTTTAACTTGGTGGGGAAAGTAGGTACAAGCACGCTTCTGTGTGTGTGTGTGTGTTGGTGTGTGTGTGTGTGTGTGTGTGTGTGTGTGTGTGTGTGNGTGTGTGTGTGTGTGTGTGTGTGTGTGTGTGTGTGTGTGTGAGAGACTTCACATCCATCTCCTCCCACTGCTCAACTCCCAGCCGTCGACCTGCCTCCCTGCCCTGCCCTCTCTCTTCACCCTCTTCCTTTGTGTCTACGAGGATGGTGTTGAGTTCACACGTGCCGTCCCTCTGCTATCTTCTCCACAGCGACTACATCGTAGAGGAGAAGAATGCTGTTTTACAAAAGAAGGACAATGAGGGGTTTGGTTTTGTCCTGCGGGGAGCCAAAGGTGAGTTTTTACACACACCGAGGGCGCACATCGCTGAAACATTCGCTTCCACGACACCTTTGCTTCACACGTGTGTGTGTGTTCTAGTCTCCTGAGTAGTTTGGTGATCTGAGTCATTGAGTTTAGATCAGACAGTAATGTGACTGAGTCAACAGCACAGCCAGCTTTGGTCAACACTCACTTTATTTACTGAGATGTGCTCAGGCCCGCGTATGTGTGTACATGTGTGTTTGCGTGCATGCGTGTGTGTGTGTGTTTAAGTGAGAGAAAGAAAGAGCATGTAGACCTTCTGGTAGCGTCATCCTTGGCCGAGCCGTCAGTGAGCTGTCCCATCTGTTCATCACACATGGCGTTGAGCTTGAGTAGAGAAACACTCCTCTGATTCTTCTCTTTTTTTGTGTGTATGTTTTGTTTTGTTTTTTTTGCTCCTGTCTGTCTGCCTCTTCTCCACTCGCTGCATTTCATCTCCCTCCTGTCAATTATCATCTCTAAATGCTGTCACACCTTCCGCTTTTTGACTGCAACCACCTTTCAGCCGGTCCCCGTAATCACAAATTCGTTTACTCACACAGACACACACACACACACACACACACAGACACACTCACACAGACACACACACACACACACACACACACACACACACACACACGTGCCAGCACTCCCGCTCGGGCTGGTTACCACGGCAACCCGCTCCTCGGCAGCTTGCCGGGAGTCTGAGTGTGCTTTACTGCTCCATCACTCACTACCATGAATCTTGGCTCACCCCACTCACTTTATCAGTCAGTCTTTTACTCTTCAGTACCCTTAAACATACACACACACACACACACATGTTTGCACAGCTATCCATTTGGGGACATTCCATTGACTTCCATTACATTTCTACAGCCTAACCCTGACCACAAACCCTAAGGCTAACCTCACAGGTACCTACCTGACCCTAAAACTAACCTAAACTCAATTCACACCTTGGTCCTAAACCCAACCCCCAACCCACCAATGGCATTTAAACCAAATGGGGACTCGACTTAGGTCCCCAAATGTAGGCATTTTGTTTTAATGTAGGCATTTTGTCTTAAAATTGCCCCCAAATGTCACCAGAAACAACACACACACACCCACACACACACACACACAGACACACACACACACACTCACTCACTGCAGTTCACTTTGTGGTCCTCTGAGAGCTCTTATGTGTCAGTCAATTAGTTGCATCTGCTTCAAGGTTAAACAGTTTGTGATAGTTTGTGTTTGTGACAAAGTATTCCCCTGCATGAGTGTGTGCTGGGATTTCTCCCTCCAGAATTGTAAAAGGTGAGTTTAAGTAAATGACCTTTCGTACTGTATGTGTGAGACATGAGAGCAAAGTTACGAAGTATTTACAAACTGGTAAATCACGTCTGCTGTCGTGTTTTTAATGTGGACAAGTTCATTGAAGTGAAAAGCTAACGGTCGCTCGCTCCACTCTGTTTTCACTTGACTGATTGTTCGGTTCATCGCAGGTTTTCCTGCGGTTGCAGTCGCGCTCGTGTCAACAAAACTTATTATTTAGCCGCTGTTCTGTTATGAACTTTGTGTTTACTGTCAACTTTAATTTCCCCACGCCTGCAGGCTTCAGCAGACTTTTTATTTTATCTGAGCTCTCAGCTTTGTCAAGTTTATCGCTAAAACGTCAGAATAGAATAGAATAAAACAGAATAGAATAAAATAGAATAGAACTTTAAAGTACCTGTGACATGCATATTCTTCAAATACAAAAAACTCAAAGAAAACATCTTAATATTTAAGGAAAGTTGGAATCATACACACGAATTAACCCATTCTGTCCCATAACTGGCATATTTTCTTTTGAACTTGGCTCAGCCAAAGTGAATCAGGAAGTGACATCAAAGGGGAACTCTTTAAGAAAACTCTCCGGTCTTTGTTTATTGAAACAATATTATTTGAACTCTGACTCTTCTTCATCTCTCTGATAGAGACTCAAAAATAATCTTAAGAAACATCAGATTCTTCTCTACAGTCAGGGTTTTTGGTTGTTGTAGCACTGCTCTGTTCACATGCAGACATTCCCCTTTGACATCACTTCCTGTTACTTCACAGGCAAATATCTCAACAACTTTTCATCGCAGCAACATCAAATGTCTTTTGCAATATTTTATCAACGTGCTCTTTCTAAACATACACTCACCGGCCACTTTATTAGGTACACCACGCCAGTAACGGGTTGGACCCCCTTTTGCCTTCAGAACTGCCTCAATTCTTCGTGGCAT